CTGTGGTTAGATCTTCGCCAATATCCATAGGTCTCTGTGGTCTAATGGATATGATACTCGCATTGATAGTGAGAGGTTGTAGGTTCGAATCCCGCCAGAGACTGAAAATAGTAGGAACTTTTCATTGATGAGCTTTGCTTGATACGATTAATAATATTCAAGTTGCTGCTGATGAATTAGAAGAGGTCCAAAGACGCCTCTTCTTTCCCACTATTGTTCATAATGTATGCCATGATATCATCTTGATCGAAGTTTGCCTCTGTAGACATAGGCTCTGCAAATAAATCATCATATTTTGATACTGGGTGTGCCTTTTGTGTTGCTGCATTTTCAGCTTGATTTGCTGTTTGAGATGATGTTGGTTTACTTGCTTGTCTTTGCTTCTCTTCTGGTTGTGTTGTCTGCTCTATAGCAGGTAAACCGGGTTTTGTTGAGGCATGTCGTTTCTCTGCCACAGTTGATGTGCTACTTGGCTTTGGTGCCACTGGTTTAGCAGCCGTTGTTGGTTTGCTTGCTACAGCTGGTTTTTTTGCTACCACAGGCTTGCTTGCTATCACGGGCTTGCCTGTAACCACAGGTTTACTTGCTACAACAGGTTTGCTTGCTACCACTGGTTTGTTAGCTACTGCTGGTTTACTAGCTACTGCTGACTTCTTCTTACCAACACTGATAAAGAGTTGGTCTATGTCGTCATCAATGCTATGAAAGGGAAAATATTATCTGTTATTGTAACAATATTTTAATCAAAGTTTACCTTAAAACAATAATATTTTGTTCTGATTGATTAGTTTAATTAACGGTCCAAACTGCAAACTGCCTAGTTTCTCTGGGCATCAGGGAGCTAATATCATCATTAATTTAGTGCTTACTTCAAAAGATCTGAGTTATCCTCGTAGGCTGTTGAAAGATCATGTGATGGCTGGCTATCGGTGGTATCTACCGCAATAAAGATGTCTCCTTCTTCACTGTCCTCTGGATCTCGGTCACCAAACAGTGTTACAGATGATGCTAAAAATAAAAAAAAAAAAAATAATTGTTACACTATGATTATTTATACAATTTTGTAACAAGCATAAATTTACTCATGTTCAATATCATTTGTTAATTCTTGTTAAATATGCTACTTAAACTAATAATAATATATACTTGTTATTAACTATGTTCAGTGTGGGGACCTCATTTCTATAATGGAGGTGTAGTAAGTTAAAATACTTTCTTTCTAATCTCAGTGTCCTGGGATTATTTCTTAAAAAGTGCCAGATTTTGTTCACAATTAAAAATAGCTTTTTAGTCTGATAATGGGACTTGGTTTATAAAAGAATCACATAGTTTCAACACATTAATATTCAATTGTAGTTCCATGTGAACAATAATATATTCAATTTGAACTTGTCAAAATTACCAACATTCTCAATGGCACAACCACTCCCCCTTTAACCCACTTTCCTTGATAACAGCAATGATGACATTACGTACGGACTACTGGTTATATATTGGCCATTAGAATTATTATCATGTAATCATAATGCACAGTAGTAAGGAGAGACGTTTTTTATTCCTTGTATTGAAACATGCCGCCCGCCAATAATGATAATTTCGAATACAAACAAAATTTTTGAAAAAAAATGTAAATTTCAGAAAAAAATATTTAAAGTTTTTCTTAATTTCATCATGCCCACCACCATGATTTTACAGCAAATTACTTCAGATTTTCAGGTTGTTAAAAAAACAATACACAAAATAATTGCCTAAAAGACACTGACAGTTTTTTTTCTATTTTATTCAAGATTATATATAATTTTTAACAATTGTGTGTACCATAAACACTTACATACCAATAAAAACAAAAACATGTTTTTTATATACAATTTTATGTTACATGTTGTTACATATTTAATAACTAGTAGGTAAAGCTACAGTATTCTAAGCACAGTTTTTAATTTTCATTATGTTCAAGGGTGATAGTTCGGTCTATAATTTTTTTTTGGACAAAAACAAGCTTAAATATGGTCATGATGACATCACATCACAACCATAATTATACTACAGGTACATCATGACTATATTTTTTATATATGTTTTTCAACTCTATAACTATTTTTGTAATACTTTCTTTGTGAATTTCTTAAATTTTGTGTTTTTTAAACTGTTCATGTATAACGTTGCTATTTTTGTAATACATTCATATACAGCCTTTTGGCTGTCTGTCATTTTTTTTTTGGACAAAAACATGTGACATATGCCTAAATATGGTCATGATGACATCACATCACAACCATAATTATACTACAGGTACATCATGACTATATATGGGCATACAACAGTTTTTTGTCAAAGGAAATTAATTTGATAATCTACGTAAATTGTATTTGGCACTTTTTTTTCCTATTTTAATTTATGTGTTTTTTTACATGCATTTTTTATCTCTTCCTTTATTTATTTTTTTCTTTGTGATGTGAATTTTTTAAAATTTTGGTGTTTTTTAACTGTGTAACTATTTTTGTAATACTTCCTTTGTGAAGTTCTTAAATTTTTTGTTTTTTAACTGTTCATGTATGACGTTGCTATTTTTCTGTAATACATTCATATACAGCTTTTTGGCTGTTTGTAATTTTTTTTTAATCTAAATTTGAATAAAGACCTTGAATAATCAGGACAGGGCTTAATGAAATGGCAGTACAGTATACACAGAATTATCTAACTAGATGGCATATTAACACAACCATATAATTGGAAAATCAAATAGATCTGTCAGAAAAAGTAAAAGAAAAAGACACTCTTTTTAAAAAGCCTGACAAGAAGTTTCTTTTCTTTTTGAAGCCATAAATAAGCATTATTTCTATTAAGGATTTGAACACTACTTTGACTTGCTATAGTCTACCTCGCATCACAGAGCACCAACTACATGTTACTCACAAGATTCTTTTACAAAATGAACACATACCAGCATGAAGTTCGGTAAATAGAAATTGCATATCTAGAAACAGCTGAAGGCCACACTCAAACCTACATATCACCGATGCATGCATAATAATTATATTTCAGTAAGATTAAAATGACCTCAATATGGCATTTATAAATGCAAGATTTAATTAACCTCCTTCAGATCCTAATTAATTTTGTAATAGGAACTTCTTGTTAATTAATATGAACTCTGGATGAAACTTCCAAATAATGGGATTATAAATGTCATTATTATGTACTTGGGGTCATTATTATTATTATAAATGTACTGGGGTAGTGAACGTAACTCCTGGGATTTTTAGAGCCTTGGGCTATCAGAAAATAGATGTTTGAAAAATTGCTTGAGGTTAGAGGCTTGAAGAAATGTGACAGCAATCAATTAAACTTCAGGCAGTCCATCACAAAACCAATCAATTTCTACTTAGAAGGTTGATTAGTGATTAAAATGATGTTACCTATATGTGCAGGCAACTCGTGACATAAATTAGGCTGATGGAATCAGCATCCAAGATACTGACATTCACCAAGTGGCAGATTGGCCTATGCTTTTAAATTACAGACCAATGCGAATGTAGGTTTTAAGCAACCACTGTCTAAAGCCACCTAACAATGGACTATACCACTGTAAGGTGGGGTGCACATCTTGCTATTGTAGAGCAGGACCAAGAAAAACAACCCCAGTATACCCCACTTTACAATGATATAGTCTATTATTGGGTGGCTTTAGACAGGGGTTGCTTTAGTCAGGGGTTGTTTTCGACAGGGGTGTCTTTAGACCGATTTCCATCAAAGGCACCTTAGAAGGGAAAATAAGAAGAGATTAAGATAATAATACTGAACTGCATTTATATAAATATGGGTATTAAGTTCTCAGAACTATAGGATATAGTATCTATAATAATACCAGTCAGCCCCTGCTTTTAACTTAATTTGTGAATTAGGCAGAGGGAAGCAATATCTAACATAATGAATCAATATTTAGGGGAGGATCCAGAAATTTTTTTAAAATGGGGGAGGGGGGCAGTCGAGAGACAACACTACCATAGGGTACTCCCATGAAATATTTGTTTTCTAGACGTCCGGAAATAACCTCTGAGGCGTTTTGGGCGATCAATAATTTCCTTTTCTTTCTTTATTCCTTTATTTTTTTACTCCACCAACCCCACAACCCCACCCCCACCCACTAAACCTGCCCCAGATATTTGACTTTATTCTTTAATTATTTGACTTTATTCTTTAGTATTCAAATCAAAATAATGCATCCAACCAATAAAATATCATGATGTATTAGGTCAATATAAATTTTACATTACAAATTGATATAAAATACATATAGAATGCAACACTTACAATTGCCATTTATATTGGCCAACGGCCTGACTGAAGGCAATATTATACATTGGATAAAATTACCAACACATATTACACTGATACCGAACAATAAAAATAAACTGTCTTTGCCAGCCACAATTACAATATTTCTGAGTTTTGGAGGTTTAGGGATTTACGATTCAGTTACTTATTAACACTTTGAATTCAGAATAACTACACAACTACTCATCAATATAAAATAAACTACATACTAAAAGACCTCCTACCATTTTCTTATTTCTGAGACCAAGTTTTAAAGAAGGCAACAGCATTTCAGATTAAGAGTTTAGCTGCTTTATATAACTGCTTAACTCAAGTGCAATTTTTCAAAGAGGGCAATATATTGTTCCTTAATATTATTGAACCTAACTGATGGATACAAAATGTTGCCAAATATTAGATAGGAAAGTTCAGTAATAATCTATAGATGTTTTTTGAAAAAAACAAAAAAACAAACAAACAAACCCCAAAAAACATTGTAGATGTTCATCGGCGGCAGTGGCGGCACAAAGGGATCCAGGGAGACCAGGATCCTGACGGTCAGGAAACTCTGAACCCCAATCGGTAAGAAGTAAATTATTTTGTCAGGAAACTGCTTCGAAGAAGCATTTTAATAGATAGACTTGCCATTTAATAGACAGAGTGCTTTTTTTCATGCATGTAGAAGTGCTTATTCTTAAAATTTGCTCCAACATGGTGGGACTGAGGTAAATTTGGACACTTGGGGAAACTTGGACTAATGTTCAGGAACCTTGTACTCCTCATTGTGAAATTTATAGCACCACTAGTAATCAGCAATGTTGTTCAAGTTTTAGTTAAGGTCGGACTCTTGAGTTTCGTTGAAACTAATTCTATTATAATGTACTACCAAGTACTAGAGGGCGTCCTTCAAAAGGCAAGTTTCAAACTACTATCCGATGCAAGTTAATGAGTCAAGGTCGCATCAAATTTTATCGTATGTGTACACGAGAGTTATAGCCGATAGTTATAGCGCTTATACACTGATATAAAAAAGTTGAAGATTACAATTATTTCTATTGATCTCATGATGATGTTTCAATAAAAAGAAGACGACAAAACAGAAATACATTAGGTAAGGGTCTGCCTGGGCTAGGCCTGCTTTGAATTGGGTAGGCAGTAGGCCATCCCAACTATCGAGAAATAAAAGGCAATATATGTTTAACATCCAATTTTTTCATCTTCACTTGGTTGAGCATTCCGAAAAAGTGAAATAAAACTCTTGAGTTTTTTTTTTTCTCACCTACCCTAAACCTACCTATTAACATTTAGGAGATTTTTGGCAGCATTTATAACCTGAAACTTTAAATGTAGTATGCGAGAACGAACGTTGTTCGTGGTTCTTCTTGCTAGAATGTGTGAATTGTAGTGGCTAAAGATAAGGCTACCGTATTAGCTGTAATTTCAAAATCATGTACGTATCTCATAGTATCTCACCGGAGTTCAGCCGTATCTCGTTCAAAAAAATTTATATGAACGGTAATAATATAAATTTGTCCTGTAATGTTTTATTTGGATTACTTTTGACAATTTTGAAGTTAAAAACAACTCAAAAAGGTAATTTTAAAGATGCTTTGGTTGATATTATGAACCAACTAGGCCTAGGGTCTAGTAGAATTGCCTCAAAAACGAGACCGTGGTCAAGCTACAGGTGTTATTGCAATCAACATGTGGCAAGTCAATTAACAGAAAGTTCTTTTGGATGAGAGCATTGCCAATCCAGTTATTTGTCGGTGTTAGCTTGTGGGGTGAAGCGCTTGTTTTCTATCAGGTGACCCCGTTCGTACGGTCGGTGTCAGCCTCATATTAACAAGCGTTTTTTTTCGATAACTATGATATCACCGGGGTAACTTACACCACTGGAAAAAGGCTAATGCTGGGTACACAATAATTGTCATGATGATTGATGTGAGTAGTATTGGCCTTGGAGCATATTTTTATAATCAATCTGGATTAAGAAAACCATAAACAATTGTGTATAATTGCTCTCATTATATTTCAGGAATGTTTGAAATCTATTTTTGTTGTGACAGGCTTATAATGCTGAAATTCAAGGCTATTCAGTACAGTACATTTACATCATCCAGTTTTTTGCATAACATCTACCATTTGCATGAAAATATATTATTTTCTAAAAACATGATTTCAGATTTAAGAAGGAGCGAGCCATGTCCCAATATTACAAAATTGTTTTTGATATTTAATATTGAACATCTTACTGTCTAAACATGTATAAAGTTTTTAAGAGCAATTTCTGGCTGACTATGTTGCATCCCCATTAAATTCTCACCCAACTTTTTTTTTTATTCTTTATATTACTATGTACTTATGTACAGTTTTTCAATATACAGTATGTAAAATAACCAACAAAATAAAAACATGAAAAATGGAAATATATACAAACTAGCACTATAAATCAAATAATCAATATCTCAAAATTTAATGTGAAACGTTTCTAACTATGATTGGGCTGAGGTGAGCACAGACCCTGTTAATTTCCCCCTATATCATAATGCTAGCCTCTCTGATCAACAGGTCTGGCAAAACTGATAGCATAGATTTTAATCAGCTAAACTGGTAGTAGCCAGTGTGTGTGTTCTGAACAATGTAGAAATCATTAGGCTTTTGGTTCAATTCTACGCTCTCCAGGTGTTTGTGATAGGGGGATAAAAGATGAAATTCTTTGGAGGAGAAATTACAAGAAGTCATTGATCATGTTACAACTCCATGAAGAGTTTCTTGGTGTACAGAGGCCAATCACCAAAACTCTATGCTTATGCATAGGAAAATGATATGATGACATTGGGTTTCTGTAGTAGCTCAAGTACAAATCCTTTAGGTGCCATCAAGTGGAATTACTTTTCTGCATCAACCTAACTGTTGGACACTGGATTTTCTTTTTTTTTCCTTTTCTTTTTTTTAGGTTCAACACCTGATTATTTCATTTTCTCTTCTCCAAGTATCTTCCAACAGTCCAATCATTATGCAGGTCACAGCTCTACATTTTAGGTGAATAATGTACAACTCTCTCTTTAGTCTGATGGCGCAAATTGCGATGCGGTGGCCATCACTATTGCTAGCCAACACTCTTCATCACCAGCAGATGATGATGCTGCTGCCAGTCCTTGTCCAGTCCATTCCTTTATGTCCCTTGTCCATGATCTTGTAGGTTTTCCTCCTGTACAACTAACAAACTCCAAATTTCTCTCAATAAATTTACTGATTCTTAGTATGCAACTGAAGAATATCCAATCCATGACATAAGCTGAACAGATGTGTTTCAATCTTAATGATAGGTATCATGGCAATGGGAGGTTGTAAAATAATTCATCATTGTAATTTTCTTGCAGCATTTAAAAAAAAAACTTGATCATGTGGGTCGGGAAGCTCATTGATGACCTTCAATTTGTTCTGAAATTCAATAAAACCATGAATTTTAATTAATAAAAAATATAGGGATCTATACATATATTTTTCAAATTTGCTCATTCATATAGTGTACATATATGGCATGTTAGGTATCCATGCAACAAGATTTAAGATTCATTTACTGACTTGTCCATAAAAAAATACAAATGTATATTAAAAATATGTTTTCTTTGAATACACACATTGCCAAGTACAATATAAAATATTTTATATTAAAATATTAAGTAAAACACGAAATATATAAAATATGTTAAAAAATTTTCAATGTTAAAAATATATAAAGAATCATGAAAAAAATTTAAAGATTCTTATATCAAAAAGGTCAATCATTAAAAAAGGAAAAAAGAGACATCAAAAATGATTCCCAGCAAAATGTTTTTAAAGAAACTGGGTACACTGTACAACAATATGTCAACATTAACAAACAGTAAGTAAATAAGGGCAGAATTATCTTTTCTCTGCCGTGTATAAGAAGGCAATTTAACAGAAGGACGCACATCTTGGGACATCAAAGGTTATAACTCTGGCATCGACATTTTAGGCGCACGTGCGTCCCTACACGCTGAACGTCACAAAAACCATAGCAACCAGACCATAAACCGTCAGCGTACGTGACGAATTACCCACGCGCGTGTTAGTTGCCATGATAATCGTGCGACGTGAGGTGATTACAAAGGCCTAATGATATTTTGTACTAACATTAGACTGAAATAATATTCTTCATTTCAACATTAATTTTACCAAAATTGTGGTGTATTGTCGTTCATGAGACTCACTTCGCAGAAAAAATTAATAAATGTTAAATAAATGTATATACTCAAATGTTCGTTTTCGGCACCTTATGCCAACATTGTCAAAATGACAGATTAATATTACATAAGAACATGAAATTTTCTAAAATTCGTAAATTTTAAATTGCTATAACTTTTCATTTTCAAAAATCAAATTGCAGTTTATAGAAGCATTTAACAAGCTCGCAGTCAAAAAAAAAACAGATGTAACAGACATTGCGAAGTACCCAAAATTAATAAAATTAAAACTAACACAATAAAACGAATGGCACGCACAGACTAATAATTGAGGGCTGTACTCGCAACTAGTATCGGATTGTCGATGCCACAGTAAAGATCAAAGGACTGTATGCACGCGCTATGTTCGAGAGCGGAGATGTGCGTCCTTCTGTTGAATTACCTTGGTATAAGACACTTGGTGTATTATGCTTTATCAAGTTAAATCTGTCAAAAATTATTGATGTGATATAGTGACAAATTACTCAAAATTGACCACAAAAATAAACATCAATCAAACCTTTAGCCAAATATTCTGGTATTGTAATATCAAAGTTCGACCTTTAGTCAAGTGTGTCCATGTGACTTAAATTTGGAATTGAATTGTGGGTTAAAAATTTTGCGGAATGGGTATCCAAAAAGATGGGCTATGAAGCTGAAGTTGCACAGCCTACAAAAATGTAAAAAATTAATTTGAAAATCTACATCAAAAAAAATTTGAGATTGCCCTTTAGGTTACAATGATGCTGGAGATTTAGGGTAGCCATAATACTCCCTTACTCTATGTTCCCCTTAATTTCAGTTGCCCTACAGTATAGTAGTTACCTTCTTGAAGTCTTACATCAAACTACACTGTCTAAAATTTCAAACTGGTGATACAACAGTGGAATTCATATGGGTAGCTCTGGTGAGGCTGTTGTACCTCTGGTGACGTACTGGATGACAGCATCGACCAAACACTACTCGTCGAAAAGCATCACGAAACTTCTTTGACATCATGTTATAAAGAATCGGATTAATCATTGCACTTATGTACAAAGAGGCGACTGACACATAGTAGAAGTACTTGTGGTAAATATACAGCAATGTTTCTGACCAGCTTTCATAATGTATCATAGGCATTAAACGGACCACATGGTATGGGATCCAGCACACAGCAAAACAGACTGAAACTATAGCTGGAAATAAAAAGAATTAAAAAAAGATCAATTACCATAATTCAAGAAAAAAATGGTTTCAGTAGCACTTTTTTAGACGAACAATATTTTTCAATTCAAGAGCTTTCACCCCAATAGATGGGCTTTATCTGCTATATCCCCATACATTGTAGCAAGAATTCTAAGAAATTAACATAACTGTATAATAAAATAATGTAGGGGATTTTTTGTACTTAAAATGCAATGTTTTCTGATAATTTTTGGGAAAAAATTGTTCATACAGGTAATAGAGTTAACTCTCTATTAGCTTTATGAAACATTTTTCCATACAGCTAATAGCAAGTTGACTCTATATAGTTGTTCAGCTAACAGAGTCATTAATGTCACTTTAGTTATGAATCAGTTTTTGAACTGTTTTAAAAACAATTAATAGTTGGAAAACTATAAAAAATTATAAAAATCATGTTTTTGCCCTAAAATCAAATTTGTAAAAAAATTGTTTCTTTGTAACTCGGAAAACTATTTATTAGAGTGAATAAAAACTTATCTTTTCGGACATTTTGGTACTTAAATTAACCATCATTTTTTACCAATATTTACCGTAACCAATATTTAACATATTTTTGATACAGAATAGATGCTTTTACACAAAATATGTGACTTTATGTAAAAGCATCTATTTTTACATAAAATATGTGATTTTGAAATGGGGCCCTCACAAATGCAACATGGCCAAATGGTTAACCAATGGTCCCAGGAATATGAAAAAAAAACCATATAAATTGCAGATTATGTACACATGGACCAACTGCTCTGAAGTGTATGATGTTTATTTGAATCAAAAATATTAAAACGACTTATAAACCAAAAGAATGAGAAGATAGCAATCTTTTATTCAGCTAAAGCCCTATTCAACCTAACAAATTTAATGTGACAAAATGATGTGACATGAATAAATATGGTCATGACATCACATCATGATCATAGGCACATCATCATGACCATACAGTATATAGGCACATCATCATGACCATATATAGGCACATCATCATGACCATATATAGGCACATCATCATGACCAATAGGCACATCATCACGACCATATATGCACATCATCATGACCATATATAGGCACATCATCATGACCATATATAGGCACATCATCATGACCATATATAGGCACATCATCATGACCATATATAGGCACATCATCATGACCATATATGCGCATACAACAGTTCTTTGTCAAATAAAATTTGATGGTCTGGACTGGCTTATACTTACCCAGCAACTTAACAACTTGCCGTCTCAAAACATCCACTTTATCATCATCACTATTTTTGTTCTTCATGTTGATCTGGTTCGGGGATGTCAAAGCGGATGACCTTCTCAAATTAATTTTCATATCGTTACCATTTAGCGCTCTTGCGATTAAAGTGTACAGCACGGTTATGATACTCATCGGTAAAAAAAAGAGTAAAACTGATGATACGATGTTGAATTTTACAATCATGGATTGCTTGTCTGCCTGGTAAGTACAGACAGTGGATTCAGGAACGCCCTTAATAAAATTTTCGATGTTGTATGTAAACAGCAGTGGGATTGATAGAGCATACGATATGATCCAAATAGGTATAATAATCTTTTGCGTCCGATTTGGTAAGAGGATGCTCTTCGCTTTTATTGGATGGCATATAGCAATATAGCGCTCAATTGTGACTGCTGTGATACACATGATTGTACAGTATGTAGCGGCTTCAATGATATAATAGTGGCCAACACAATAGAACTTGCCGTAAATCCAAGGACGATAATGTATAGCTGCGAAAATCTCACGCGGACCAGAAAATGTTACTAGAACTAAGTCTGAAAAAGCAAGACTAAGGAGATAGTAGTTAATGGAGGTTCGCATACTTTTTGTGCTCAAGATCACAATGATTGTTAACACATTTCCAAAGAATCCAATCATGCAGAGAATTACCATGATCAGTACATATGGTATCATGACGTCTTTCCCAATATTCTCGGGAGATATCAATACGTACAAAATGTTGTCAATGACATCGTTCATGCACTTCAGCACTGATGACATATCTTGATTTTTCCATAAAAATGGATCTCTGAAACTGGAATTATCATCACACCAATCATCTTGAACTCCAGTGCACTGCTCCAATGTTGATGTGACATAATCCCTCAAACCTTGCACAATTTCATATTGGTTTTCAGTAACTGAAATGTTGCATAAATAGTTTAAACAATAGATGTATTTCTCAAGTGTTTGTATTAGGATATCATCCATATTTCTAGTTTCAGTCTTCTGAAGTAACTTCAAATATTCCAAGGTCTTCAGTGTATACTGTATATATTTTATGCACAGTACAATTTCATATGCAAATCTATTCTGAAAAATATTTAAAAAAAAACAGACAGCATTTTATTTGTGATGGAAAGGCATGATTAAGACATATTTCCTAAATATTTACCCATGCAAAAAAATTATAAATATCCAAAATAATATTTAGCTCCATGGATCAAAAAATATTGTAAAATAATGATTGTTTAATTTAGCTTAGGAACTAACATTAATATACTAAATGTCACTCACTGACTAAACGACCATCAAATGAACAACTTTTTATGCACAATACATGGGAAACTGAGGGCCTGTTTCTACTGATTAGAAAGAACAGTTTCTAAGAACTGTTCCTTTCAAGAACGGTTCTTTGTGACAGTAGAAACAGGCCTATAAAAAAGAACCGTTCTTTTTAGCATGCCGAAGAACGGTTCTTCTGTACGGACACAATACCGTGCCCAGCACAAAAGAACCGTTTCTCGTGACACACTTTTTAGCTGCAACATGAATAGCGTGCCCAATTTGACCTAGGTCAACTTTAGCTGGTTGGTGTATCTTAGGCAGGCGGTTTCATTCCACCAATCTAGCAACACAATGTTAGACCTCGGCCGGCCTCCGTGGTCTTCTCTGGGCTCTTCGCTGTATTCATTTTGTTGCGCCGACAATGAAGGTGGCTGCTAACATTTTTCTCCTTCTTGTCTGCCGTATTAATGGATGCCAAACCAGTTCATTCTGCATGGAATTCTGGTTTAGGCGTACTGCATCTTGGTGGTTAAATAAAATTAACTTAGCTGCCAGTAAGCAAACAAACATGGGGGAATCATTATTTTGATCGATGTGAAGTGCACGAAATCTTGTTGGAATACACTAGCTTCTTTTAAAAGGTCAATGTGAACTTCTTTCACGTCTATACTATCAGTTCCTGCATCACGTCTCAAGACCTACGGCGACGGCGTTCTCTGTAGCTGCCCTAAAGTTGTGGAATCCATTACCGGCTGATCTTCGTGAGGCACCTTCACTCTTTGTATTTAAAAAGAATTTGAAGGCTTATCTCTTCAATCTTTGTTAACTTTCTCATGGTTAATAATTCGCATTTATTTGTTAATCTCTGTAGTTAAATTTCCGTAGTTAAGTTGTTCTGTAGTTCAGTTTTTTCCCCTGAAAAGTCACACCTGCTTACTTGAGGTAGCGCCGCCAACTTAGCAGTGCACGGTAGGGGAGCCATAGGCTTATCCTTGGTGGAAGCTGCCGGAGCCCAGCAAACGCCGAGCTACCTGCGTATACCCGGTAGTGATGGCGAACCATCCGGTTCATAAAATCAAATCAAATATAAACTTTTTGAATATTGTTTTTACTTTATAATATTTGTCAAAGGGAATCCAAATAAAACCTTGCAAGAAAAATTTTTCTTACCATTCATTGCAAACTTTATATAAATTGTCATGTCCTATATTTTGTAAATCCCTGAATAATGTTAGTGGCATAGATAAAACAAGATAAAAAATAGACCATCTGAAATAATTAAATAATGCTGCAATTAAAAAAAATAAAAAAAACTATATTGATGGTAACGCTAAAATATTATCTCCTTAAGAAACAATGGTAATGGAATATTTTTTATTTAATACAAAATTTGTAATTTTTGTTGTATTAGAACGATTTGTTCAGAGATTTGAATATAATAATATAAAATGACATTTTTTAGCCACGAAACACTCAAATTTAATCGGCTCATATTCACTGCAGCGAAGTGACCTCCAAAAGCCTTGGTTATATTAGACTAGCTCATTTTATGAGGGACAATTAATAGGTCTACCTTTGGTTTTTATGCTTTGTTTGAGTCTTAAATATTATTATTAACAGTATAACTGTATTAGTTTAACATTTTACAATTTAGGTTATAATAGTCATTCATATTTTACGACAAACTTTTCCTAGCTAGCCCTGGCCATCCAAGACCTGCTTAAAAATGGTATGTTCCTGCTTCTTACCAGCTGGCAGAGAAATCTACAGCCTTGTGTTTTAGATCCTTGTGTGCCTTTAAATTTACATTAAATCAAACAATAACATTCAGTAAATGTTGACAACATATTACTTAATGAGTATGTAGAAGGTGAAAATGAAATACCTAAAGGAAATTGGCCAATTCAAGGCAAAAGATACAACAACAGTACAACGCAAATTCATTAACAATGGCAGAAGTCTATACCAAAGCTTTGCACTTTCATGGGCATAATGCTTAGATAGGATTGTTCATTCATATTGAAATTAGTTTTTTGACGGTAAATTTTTTCATCCAATGGGAATATAATTTACATGAGAACAATCTATGAATATGCAACTTTCTTTTTACGGGGGGAACAACAAGATATTTGATTGGTGAACAGCTGATATGGTAATTTAAAGCCAACGAAGTCGCTAAAAAGAGGTAAAAATGCAGCCTCTACTCGGTGGGCGGCCAGCATAGCACCAATCGAAAAATGAAAAATTATGGTAACTTTTTTCGAGCAATACAATTGAATACTAAATAATAATAATAATAAGATTTATAAAGCGCACAATTCCACTGCAGTAGTAAAGCAATCAGAAAAGAATTAAATACTTTTAAATACTAAGGGAACACAAAAATCCGACAAGTATTTGCTGAGATATGACTGTCGAAAGACAAAAAATGACCCAAAAACAGCTAATTTTGGTGCGAAATACAGCGTGAATCCGGTAGGCTACTCTCGCTCTTAAATGAAAATTTTGCAAGAATCCCTATGAATACATAACCAAGTAACAATCCATTGAGTACACTTAACTTGTCTAATCCCTTTTTTCCATTCATGAATGTATACAGTTTCTCATGGATATTTAACACGTGCAAAGACATTTACATTTACTTACGTCAGCAATAAAAGTTAAGTATTATAGAATGGGTGAATGGTTGAATGATGATGGTATCACGAAGCTTCAGAACAAATGTTAAAATATTAAGTGTCGCTTGCTGACCAATAAATCATGTTTGTTTTTATCACATAAACATTAACATTCTATTGTTTTGACAAGTTTTTGTTTTTCAGCTGAATGAAAATAATGTAATACTCAAAATTACAACAAAATGTACCTAGTGGAAAGAAGCCTATATCAAACAACTTATTCTTCATGCACAAGACGTTTTAACATGTTTTGTGCAATAATATTCAACCATTATGTAAAATGATTGATGTAAGAACATAAGCAAGTGTCATTATTCTACTCACAAAACCACATTTTCATGATGTTAAGTGCATGTTAAGTGTAGGGATACAGACAAATGAAATAGTAAACTGCAAAATTTCATTTGACTAATAGTGTATAGTATTAAGGTTGTAAACAATCCCAATACTTCATAGTATGACATTTTTTTTTTATCTACAAAATAACAATGTTTTACCAACCCAGTCTCATTTGTCATTTCTTTCATAATTAAAAAAAAAATGATGCTAATAGCAGTGATTTTCAAAATGCATTAGCTGATCGTGCAATGAATGTTCGAGAATGGCGCCATAACAATTAAGTGATTGATTAAATGACTGATCGTAGTAAATCGATGTGTTGAACTGTAATGTCATCAATTTAACATCAATTATGAAACGATTGTCATTACCGCAGGATTTGCGATCGCATTAAAAATTTAACAATGAAAGTTTTATTCAAGCATTTTAAATGTGACTGGAATTAACTTCAACAATTTGATTTGATTGCGTTTTGCTGTTTTGACTACTGTAATATTGATGATTTAATATATATTGAGTGACTTTTGTATTTCTCCTATTCTGGTGTGTTTTTTTAATGAATGAAATAAATTGAAACTGAAAAATAGACCAACCACATTCATAATAAGTGTCATGAATTCCTAATTGACATATTTCCGAGTGGTATAGAAATGACCAGGAATCCCTCTTTATGACATATAAAATATAAACTCAGTTCACAATGTAACACAACTCTCAAATAAACTTTTATTTTGTATGAACTCTAACAAGAATCTGGTATCAAAATAACGCAACAACATTCACATAAACATGTGTTTCAAAAAGAGCTTCAGAAAGATAAAACTATCAGCTTATATATCCTAGCTGTACAACTCCAGAGCATTCAAAAGCATTCTATATTGCCTAAGTTCCCCATTGGTTACCTTACATCAAAACAACCAATTAGGCTTATTCGCCTCTATAGTACCCAAGATTCCAGAAACTTCCAAATATTACTCTTGGATTCTACATGGTGTCATGTGTTCCTATAATTACTAATGTGGTTTACACTTGTTTGTCTGGTCAAATAAATATAATTCTAGAATGTTCTGGAGAAAGGAATGGTAATTTATTAAAATAAGAATGCTCCAGAAAAAAAAAAAAAAAAAAAAAAAACACAGCTATATCATTATTTGTTTAGTATAGGCAATGCCCTTTGGCATACGGTATGTGCGCAATTAATGATCTTATCATGAAGCTTCTATCATTGCATGTTGGAGGATACGCACATTCAACACATCAGTACGATATCTTAAAGAAGTAACACCTAAAACAACTGATAGTGAGCAAAAAATTGAAATATTACTGATAAATAAAACAGCAAACACTCTCATAGCTACTATAACATGCACTATTAAAGATTAAGTTGTCAAAAAATTGGGGGAAAAAATTCAAAAAGGACAATTAAAAAGTACCATCTAAATGAGAAAATTACAGAAAAATGGCTTCTTGAAAATGACGAATGAGTCATCAAACTAAGTCTTAACTTGACTGACTGTACTGTATTTACACATAAGACTATATTACTTGCTACAATCATTAGACCCTATAGATGTCTTAATGATTTACCACCATGTAGCACTGACAAGTAATGTTCTTCTAATGTCTAATCTTGAAATGGTTAATGAGAACATTGTGTCCCAAGATTCTCTTCAGTCTTCTAAAAATAAAAGACTGTCGATAATGCTCTTCTGTGGCACACTTACATGGTCAAGATTCATTCAATACCATCAAAACATTCACACATTGTGGAACAAACATTGCTGGTAT